GGTCATCAGCCTTTCGCTGAACCCTCTGGTTGTTTGACCACATGTAGTAGGACGGGACTTGGGGGTATATCAATGTTTTGGCAAAAGCATCTGTTGAGCATAATTTAAAGAAAGCCGTTAGGGTTGTGTCTTGAGGGTTTTTTCCGCAACCTGCTGGGCGTTTTGTTCGGTGAAGTACATCCTCTGTCCATTTTCTAAGTGAACAGCAAGCTGCACAATGGCTGGAGCACTTTAGTGTATGGGGAATCCGAAAATTCGCCAAAAGACCTCACTACTGCTGAGGTAGCGTCCAGCCACGTAATCGGCCACCTCGTCAACACAATTGTCGCGCCAGATACCGAAAACGGCATCATCGCTGCCTGTATTAACGTACTTGCAGATGTACTTTATTGACTTAACCGAGTGGCAGTATTCAATGTTTATGTGGGCTCCAAAAGTCTTGGACGGCAGCGGGCAATAAGGCACCACCCAACGATTGTCCAGAGGGTGCCCCTTAACTGTCACAGTTCTGCCACCCTCAACAGGGCTTCTACGTCTGTACAGTGGGTAACCATCTGTTGCAGTCTGCGTTTCTGAGATAAACTTATGGGGGTAACACTTTGTGCAAGTGGGGCTGCTTGACCAACATGACCTTTTTTTGTAATTCGCGCCACAGGGGCTGTGTATCATATTGTTTTTAATGATTTCGTGGAGCAAAGGATCTAGCGCAGGATCTGGAATTTCAGCAGAAATAAAATCATCTATTTTGTTTGCGTCAACCTTATCGTTGAGCCATAGCCGAATGTGGGCATGAGGCAAACCGCATTTCTGCCATTCCACTGTATACATATGACACTTAACACGTCCGAAGACTTGCCCTAACCGGAAAACACAGGAAATTAGGTCAGGCGGTGTGAGTACTGCTGACCTGGAAAAAGTTTGCGTGTGATTTCAACCCATTTCGGATTGCATGTGAACGTGACCAACAAATAAGGCCTCCCGTAATGACGGACATAGGTCATTGCATCTTGTGTCCTTACATGCATGTATTGAGGGCCACCAGTGTAAGAGGAAGGCAAAATCCAAGGTTTGCTGAGATTGCATGGGTCACCATCAGAACGCAGACCATCACGAACCTCTCCAACTCCATGTTTTTGCAGCCATGTCAACAGCGAATTGAAGAAATAGTTGATGGCACCTGTGCAAGTGGTTAAATTCACCCTCCCTCACCATAAACATGTAGGCGTAGTAAGCCCTACAGGAGACCTTCTTTGAGGTCGACATGGAATCACTTCTTGCCTGGTATATTGGGATATTGAAGTGGTACCCATCAATTCCGTATGAAAATAGAAGGGGGTACTGGAGACAGTCGTATGAACGGTGGGTTTCACTGATGTGGTGCAGACCACCGCCCCGGTACCTTATGACAATGTCACAGCTGTTATGCTCCTCACCGTGGATGACTGCGGCGACTTCATTACATGCAGGAGCATTGAAGCGACACTCATGCTCACCATGAGGCTTTTTGTCTGCATCGATGACAACGCTGAAAGAGGGCGAAGTTGTTTTGCAACGCAAACTTTAAGCTTCGGGTGTAACTGTTAGTTTCGTGAATCATGTTTTGTAGACGGAACAGAATGTTTATACGGGGACAAACGGAAATATCGCTAGGCAGAATGCCGAGACACGCATAAACCTGCTCGTTGTAGTCAGCGAGAAAGTAAATTTGTAGGAACTGAGGTGGCTCTCCCTGACCAGCCAAAAGTGATCCCATTAAGTGGTAAACCTGGCCTTGCACTTTGAAAGTAGGCATCCATCCCCCCTCACTAATATCCTTCGCAACAAAAGACGTCATCTGGAAGCAACATTTGTACTTCTGTATTGCTTCAAGAAAATGCATTGACTCCGAAGTTGTACCCAGAAGGAGGTCCCTAAGCAGCTGGGGAGGTTCGTCTAAAGAAGGGAGTTTGATTTTGCCCCCAGAGCAACAAAGCCCAGGTTGCTCACCGACCCACTTTTTTGTGTTGCAAAAAGTGCAAACTTTATCCATGGCCCCTATTTGTACGTTTCTCTTAGTGGAATAGTTGACAGTGCAGTCATAATTGTATGTGGCATTTGACCAAAATGACGCAGACAGCAAAGTTACGCCATTCAAAGAAGCTCGAAGTTGCTAATGTTTTCGAGCTGTTGACAGTGTACTTCAGAGTTTTCTGCAACCCTGGCAGACGCAGTAGAGCGGGCATTTCTAACGCGGCAAACAGTGGTTTGTGCATGGCTTTCTAGGGCTCTAGCAGATGCAGTAGAGCGGGCATTTCTAATGTGACGAACAGTGATCTGTGCAGGGCTTTCTAAGGCTCTGGCAGACGCGGTGGATAGGGCATTTCTAAAGCGACGATGAGTGGTTTCTTGGGGTTGTTCCGAAGCTCTAGAGGCGGCTGTAGCCCTAGTATTCCTAAGACAATGTGAAGTTGTTTGTTCAGGGCTTTCTAAAACTCTGGAGCAAGCTTTTGCGGTGGCATCCCACAAACAACGAAGGGTTTTCTGTGCTGGGGGCTGTGAAGCCCACAACCTAGCCACGCGGACTGCGTCGTGTGAATTCTGAAGTGAACGTTCTTCAACTGAAAACCTGGCGTGGCATGCGGACATGGTTGAAGCCAACCTTTCAGTCCATGCAGCAGCGCTTTCTGTAGATAAGCAGGCAGCTTAGCTTGAGGCCATCCGTGAAAGACACAAAGAAATCTGTTCAGGGTTTTCACTCACCCTTGCTGCTCTAGCAGCGGAGGCAGCTGCTGTGTGCCATCCCAAAAGTTTCCTCCTTTTAGGTGGCATCCAAACAGTAAAAACGTCAAGGAGGGTAAAGCTTAAAAAGAGATTTCGACAAATCCAAAACGAAAAAAATGTGCACTGCTAACGTAGACACAAAAAGGGGAACACCCAGTGTTATGTGTTGATAATTGTAACAAAGGAAAAAAAAATGATTTGCCACAACCCAGAGCTAAATCACAAACAAATATTTAATTTGCTAAAACAGAACATAAAATATATACAAGATAAACAATTGTGTCCTACAAAACAGAAAACACAGAGTTACTGGCAAGTGTTGTGAGGGAGAAGGAAAGGGAGTCAAATATCTTTATCAATTTAGGTTTAGTGAAGTAATCTAAGTGCTATATTTGGAAATCTACAAAGGTGTGTAAATAAATATAAATTTTTAGTTTGGTCAATGTGAAAATTAGTCAAAATTCTATTTACCAAATTTGTTCCATGAAATTCTCTTTTGGGTTTTGGTTGGTCGGCAACTTTTTATAGAGATTCTTTCGGCTGGATATAATAGTCCTTGAATCAAAAGCCGGAGTTGATAACAGCAGAAATTCCTTTTCATCAACTAACTACCCTTTTCCAAAATTCCATTTTTATAGGGGCTAACACCTAATTTGCATATTTCTAGATGTTTCTCGAATCATCTAGATTTTTCTCAAATACACTAGAATGATCTAGAATCTTCCAAACATTCTATTTCTAATTTCTCTATTTTACAACTACTTCATGAATGAAAACTTTTTTGTAATAACAAGTAGAGCTCAGTGAAATCCCTTCTTATAGAAATGCATCCTCGTAACACCCAGTAAAATGAGTTCTAAAGGGGAACTCGAAACTAAAAAAGGTAAACCAATGGTAAATCCAAAAGGAAATGGGTTTTTAGTACAATTGGCTAACGTGTGTGGGGTTGGGTTGGAACTATAAAACAAAAAAGCAGCTAGAACACGTAATCAACAACTTGCGGTGTCCGGAGTAGGCGAATAAAATAAACCAAATGCGTGCACACGGGCAACAATAAATGCAAAAGTGTGAAAGCCCGCACAAGTCATGCAATAGAAGTGGTTGACCTAGAGCGCACTTACACATAAGCTGACGTGCAATCATGTGGGCGCTATAACGTGTGAGAAATCCTGCGTGATGATTGGACAGGCCCCAAGGTCAAGCTCTGTGAAAGTGACCAATGGACTTGCAGCAGTCTCGGTATCAACACGTGGACTCAGTTGTACGCAGCTGTGTGTGTGTGTGTGTAAGGAAGTTACAAAAAAGATTGATCTGTGTGCAGCTACGGTTATTTTTGCCAAAGAATTCTGAAATTTGACACACATAAAGGCAATAGTAAGCCGCAAGTGTGTCGTAAACTTCATTTGAATCAAACCAAAACTGTACATACTGTGCCAGTGAATGTGTGTTCAGAGGGGTAAATCCTGTCCCTTGGTACCCTCGTTTATGGTTCCCTGGTCAAGCGGCTTTGATAGTCTTGCAAACAATTTGGTACTTGTTAGATAGCCAAGTGTTAGTGCTATCAGAAACTGGACCATTTGCCTTGTTTTGGTGGCTTGGTAACAAAACATTGTCCAAAGACTGCGAAAAATCTGCATAAATGGCCCTTATCCGTGCTTTCAAATTGATTTTGTGCAAAAACAATTGTGTTTTTCCTATTTTTGGCACTGTCAGAACCACCGCCGGGTAATTTTACGTAGTCCTGTGAAGTTTTGTTGAAATCGGTTGAAAAAGGTAGGAAATCCGATCCCATATATAAACGAACACACACACACACACACAACCTGTGTTTTATAATAAGTAAGATGCTTAGAAAGATATATAACTCTTGTATGAAAAGGAAGTGACCAAAGCACATTGGGTTGTATTGCTACAAATAGCATCTACTTTTTAGACAGTAGCAAATTGAAAGAATGGGTTTCAGAAAAATATCTAAAGTGTCTCTACCTATAAGAAGGTATTAGATTGTATCATAAGTTTCCTATATGGCTAATTATGTATTCTAAAATGGTATTGTGCTTCTAGGTTAATGGTTCTATTTCTTCAGTCTCTTTCTTACAAAGGAGCTTCTATACTTTTATTTTAAATAGTTTTTTTTTTAATGACTAATAAATATGATTTTGAATATTCATTTTTCTATCCTATAAAATGCTGTCTTCTTTTTATTGATTCTAATATTGCCTTTTTTTTTTCTTTTTCAGCTGGTTTGTCTTTGGTTGGTGAATATTCAGATTCAGAATCTGATTCTGAAGGAGAAGCAGAACAAACTGACCCTGATGTTGAATCCAAAATTAATGGTCAGTTTTGTTTTTTGCTTTTTTTTTTTTTTCTTTTTTTTTATTGCTAATCAGTTTTGGGCTATAGTCATGGCAAAAAATTATTGTGATCATTTTTTAAAAATTTTTGCATGTATTGCCTTTCTTTTCTTATTAGTAATAAAATTATAACCCTTTGAATTTCATTGTTAGGCAAAAGCAGATAGGTGTGGATGTTAAAATAAATAAAAGTACTTCTGTACCATGTAATTGTGTATCTTTCAGGTGACACAGTGGTGAAGAGTGAAGAAAGTCAGCTTGTAAAAGAGAAAAATGATAGTCTCCAAGCAGAAATGTTGGAGCTTGTTGGCATTAAGAAAGAAACCTCAGCTGACATTTTCCTTCGAGAGTTTCAAGCTTATCAAAAGGAAAGTGTAGCTCCTGTGTATAATCGAGAATTTATTGCTTTCCAAAAGGAAAGCAAGGAGAATATAGAAAGCTCTCCAATTTCATCATTAAAAGACGTTCAGAAAGAGAATCCAACAAAATCCTCAGAAGATGCCAGTTCTGTGACAAAAATCAACAAAACATCTTCCAGTGGACTGAAGACACCTGATATAGATTCTCAAGTTGCCTCTTTTCTTGCCGTATGTATGATTCTTGTTCTTTTCTTCAGTATTTTTGGGCAACTTGCTTTGACATCTTTTACTTACATATCAAATGATTATGGATTGTATGATTATTTTTCTTTTTAATAAGTTGCATAAAACCATTTTTCTTGATAATTTTTATATCAAAGATTTTGTAAAATATCTCCAGCTGATGAACTCCTGTTTGTATACCTTCTCATTTTTAAAACCAGCCATTCTTTGATATTTTAAAAATTCTCTTTAAGTGTGTGCAGTAATAAATGAGTGGCAAAATATCCAAGGAGCGTACTTGACAGCTATAAATGTTGGCTGTAGAAATTGTGTTTGTTTTTTTTCCATCCGATTTTTCATTTTTTTCTTTCTCCACCCCACTCCTGTAGGAAATCGATGCTCTTGGAGATGAAGAAGAGAAAGAAAAGGTTGAAGAATCCAATGAGGCTGGCATCAGTGATAGGGGTTCTTGTATTGATCGGGAACAGAATGTACAATCCTCTATGACCTTATCTGATTCTAAGAACAAAGACCCTCTGAATGGTAATAGTGCTACAACAAGCGCCTCCAGAACTGCTAAAGAGGAAGTTGAAGAAAATGCAGTAGGAGTACAGCCACCCCCACTGCCCCAAGAAGAAAAAATTGTCTGGCCAGATGGTAAGATTTTGTTTTGAGTAAATAATTTTTGTGAAGTTAGTTCAATCCCTCACCAACTAAACCCAAAAACAACAATTTTTTCTTCTTTTTTTTTTTTTTTCAAACTTTGTGTGCAAAGAGGCATAAGTTTCCAGTAATGCCAAATAGTCCAGTCACTAATTCTAATAAGTGAAGAAGCATAAGCAAGATGCCTCAAGGCTCTTTTCTTTCAGCTATATTATGAGAGCAGCCATCTTGAACATCTTTATCACAGCCATTGCTAAGTCACACAATCTTCATTTCTTATTCACTTGTCAGTTGATGTGGCATTGCTGACAGTTGATGGAATGAATACTGTTGATTTATCAAAAATATTTTGAATTAGTGGCTTTTGTAAACATAACTCTTGTTAATCATATGTGATTGCTTGGCATTCCAGAAAAACTTTCTTGTTTCTGAAAGCTTTAATGACTACTTCTATTTTGTTTGGCTGCTTGAAAAAACAGACAATGGCTAGATTCAACATTATGCAGTTTGGGAGCATAAAGTAATGTTATAACTCAAAACCATCATGTATGGCAACTATTGCCAGAAAGTTTTAATATTTTAAAAATGCTTATATCATTAATCCAGTCAAATGGAAATTTTCACTCCTTCACAAATTTATTATGATTGAGCTATTATTATTTTAACTTCAAATAACTGACATTTATTAATGAAAATTTTGACTGATTATCATTTCAAACCTAGGAAAATTAAACACTGTTTTTCTATTTATCTACATACCAACCACATTTTCTGTTGGCTTATTGCTTGAAGGTGTTTGCACTATGACCAGCGAAGAATATTTTTTATTGTTAACTTGATTTAAGTCAGGAAGTCTTGTTTTGCAGTCAACTGTAGATTTATTTAATTCATTTATGCTTAAAAAGTTGAAAGGTTATCTTTTATTCCAAGAGCATCATTCATTTTTGTTGCTTGATTTTATTTTCATCTATGGTGACTTCAGAGTATTTGAAAATTGAACAAATATCAATTTTCAAAATGCCTAAATTTAAGAAGTTAGCATTTAAATTGATATGTAGTTTTAAATTTGACATTGGTTGTTGAAGAGCAAAATGTAGTATCTGTTCTTTTACTTTCAGTGAAATTAATCAGGTACAAGACAGTTACTACTTTTGATGACTTATGACAGCTTTTTTTTTTTTTTAATTTTCTTTTTAAATTGACTAAAAATATACTCCAGATATAGTTGATACTAATGTTTATTTAGGTGGCATAGACTATCACTATTTGCACTTTGTCTACCTCTATAATCTATCTATATTTCTCATGTCTGTCTGTGTGTCTGTCGTGGGCGTTGTTACCTAGCCCAGGCTGCATTTCTCACCCGATTTCGATGCGGTTTTCAACACAAGTTTGCAAATGGCTGCCATAGGGACATGACGGAGCCCGATTTTTGAGTTCGGAATCAGGTTCCGAAAAAATCGATAATCGAAAAAAATTGATAATCGAAAAAATTCTGCTTACAGAAGGAATGATCACATTTCAACCAAATTTGACACCCTCTTAGAGTCTACCATTAGAAGTGTTGTCCAGAAGTTTCATGACCACGGACCCCTAAACAGCGTGGAAAATCGATAAAACCCAAAAACCGATACGCCCAGATTGCGTATGAACCGCATGTCGGTTTTTTAGTGAAAACCGAGCGGATTTATGAAGTGGCCATTGGGAGTCATCATGTGAAGTTTCAACTCTGAGCACCCCCCAAACAGAGTGCAAATCGACAATCGGTCAACCCTTAAAAATGTTTTTCCCGTTTTTTTTAAAGCTGATCATTTTGTGTTTATTTTGTTTAGTTCTTTTTTCGTAACAGATTTAATGTTTACTATAGAGCTTAGAAAAAGTTGGCAGTGTGATATAGGCAAGAAGTAAGGCATGTAACAACATCAGCACGGCAAAGGGCACTCTAAAGGCAAGGAAGGGCAAAAATATTTTAAGTCAAGTGATAGCGATTGCTGTATTAGTCATACTATTTTTGAATCAAGCATGGGCAACGCCGGGCCATGCTGCTAGTATTAAATATAAATGATGCAGGGTTTTAAATGTTATATAGGAGCTGAATATACTAATCCTTTTTAAGGCTAAAAGTGTTAATTGGAAGAGAAAATGAATTGCCCATGATCTGATATTTCATTCAGAGTTCTGTTTGATGATAATGATTCTTTTTTTTTTTTTTTTCTTCTTTTTTGTTCCTCACAGAACCCACAACAGAATGGCAACAATGTTATGATGAAAATACACAGCACTGTTACTACTGGAACATCAATACAAATGAAGTCACATGGGAGATCCCTGCTGAATTTACACAATATTTACTACTTTACAGGGAATATGAAGAGAAAATCACCAAACTTATGAAAGAGGGAAAAACAAAACCAAAAAAGAAGAAAATGCACAAAAAGAGGTGAGGCTTAACAAAGACAATATTTTTTCCAGAAAATATCAAATAAGAAGATCTGATCCTGTGCGTTTTAGATAAGAAACTATTATTAAACAAAAACGGTTAAAATTATTATATTTTATTTTACTTTACATTTTGGAATATAAAATCATTGAAATCCAATATATTATTTAAAATTGGCCTATATATTTTGGAAAACATTTATATTTGAAATTTAATATCATAAAGAATATGCTGACTTCACTGTATGCAAATAACCAAAATTAAATATTCAAAATGTATTTGAATCCATTATCTTCAATATGAATGAGCAAAAAGATGAATGGAGAAAAGCATGCATGTTAAAAGGTTTAGATAGACAGAATTAAGAGTGTTTCTTACTTGTCAGATTAAATCTAATATCTTTTTTTCTATGCAATGTTGAGAAAGTCTAAATCTAAAAACCTTAAAATACTGTTAACCAATTATTTGGTAAATATCTACATAAGTCTGTATAAACCTTTTAACAACATGGTTTGTGTTATAGACTATACAAAAGAAAATAACTTGTATGTTAGCAATCAAAGCTGGTTGTTAGGATTTGTATATTTACTTGATTGTTATTTCCATTTTCTTTTGCATTGCAAGTGAAAAGAGCAAGGTGAAGCAGAATGAAAACGAATCTGAAACCTCATCAAAAGATTCAAGTGTAGAACCTCAGGTAGAGTATGGACCACATCTACCTTCATCCAGCAGCAACAACAACAACAACCTTAAAGACACTTGCAGTTCTCCAGAAACTGCTGGACCAGCCACTGTAAGTCAGGAATCATCCAAGGAATCAATGGAACCAATATATGGACCAATGATGAACCCTGACACTGCACCAGAAGGGAACAAGGAGAAGAGTGAAGAATCTGATGCTAGCAGTTCTTCATCTGCTGGCAAATGCATGCATAATACAACAAGAGATAATGCTGAGGAGGAGGAAGAGGAGGGGGAAGATAATAATAATATAATAGACAATAAAAAACCTGCTGCTGTTTCAACCACTTCAGTAACAGACACAAGCAGTCCTGTTGATTCTACGGCTGCAATAACTGTCAGTACGACGACTGTGAATGTAGATAGCACACGGGAGTCTCTGACTGCCGATTTGGCAATGATGGAATTGTGCAAGAAGAAATTCAAAGCTCGGATTAGTCGAGAAGAGGAAAGTGGAAAATCCTCTGTGTCACTGTCAGTGGACTCTGCAACCAAAGACAATTCACTTCCAACCGATTTTGAAGAAGGGCTTCTAGATATAGATGAAGTTGACAGAGAGTTGGAACTAGCTCTTGAAAGAAAAAAAGTAAGTTTATCCAAGTAGTATATTCACAAATATATCGAAGCATATTCTTGTCAGTAGGTGCCAAATATTGATGGTAACCAATATGTATGTATGATGATGTCTAGTTTGTATGTTGCATCTGATCAGGACTAAGGCAAGAGAAAGTGAGAAGACTAGTTTAAAATAACCCTGTTTTGTTTGCAAGTTTGGAAAGATCAGTTGGACTGAATTTGCTTCTCTATAGCAAATACATTTAGATACATGAACAATCTCTTGAACAGCTGTAGAAGTTTTCTGTAAAGAGACTTAAGTGGATTTTTAAAAGCTGTAATGCACAAAAATGCTTGATTCAGATTTATTTTTACCACTCTATGTAAATTATGTGAATACTATGGTAGGAATTATATATATCAAAAGATTTGTGCATGCTGTTTATCCCAGAGATAATAGTTTCGTAAAAAATGTAATTTAATAAATATATTCACATACTCTGTAGATTATGTCTAATAAGAAAAAATCTTCATTTCATGTTTAGAATATGAGTATAAGTTTGAACTTGATTAGCAAAAACAAGAGATTTGTTTTTCATAGAGAATGACAACCACTCAGACTTAATTTTATGTCTAATAAAAGAAAAAAAATGGTTTCATTTATGGTCTTTTTGATACATGTGTCTATGATGTAAAATAATTACAAAAATGAACTTGAGTCATCAGTTTTACACTGGTAAAAGTATAATAATCAATGGGATACATAATTGACAAAATTATTAGTTCATCACAGAATTGATCAATTGTGTGTAAAATCTTTTAATAATGTCATTATTGTTGCAAATATAGTTTTTGGTGTAGAGTGTAATATTTTTTTATAAACCATTAAGAATATATTGATAATCTAGAATCTATAAAACAAAATGATTAAAATGCCTTGTCAAAACAAGATTCTAGGAATTGTTTCTTGTATCTTTTTGAGAATTGTCGCATTGAAGAGATGTGTGTGTGTGTGTATATATATATATATATATAATTTTGTTTATACATTATTTATATAGACACACATATTTAAATAAATGCTCTATTTATTATAAACAGTATTAACAACATTTACTGGCCTGAATGTCTGAGAAATCTCATAGAAAATAGGTGTCCTCAGACAGGAATCAAACTTGTATCCTACATGGGACAGTCATTTGTAGTTTAAAAGCAGTAATGCAACCTTCATAGCTAAACTGGTATAGAACGTTGGGCTATAAATATTGTTAATGCTGTTTATTATAAACAGAGCATTTACTTAAATATTTGTGTCTGTCTATATAAATAATGTACAACAATAAAATAAATTAAAATAATTGTCATCACTATTTGGTTGAATAGTCAACTTATCTGATGGTTATTTAGAGATAAATTCTTTGATTTGGGATAACATTTTAGGATTTAGATTTTTCTCACTTTGATAAAGACACATATATGAAATGTAAATAATTAGAAGAAACCAATTAATTTCTAGTTATTTTTTTAACCAATTAAGAACTAAGAATTATTTCTATTTTATCATAATTAATGCAGAAAATAGTTACTACAGTTGTGTACAGGTCTTTATTTACTTTTGTTTTGTGTGAAAAATTGAAATGTTAAAATTACAAGCAGAATTATCAGTGTAAAATATTGTCTAATTTTTTTATCTTTTGAAAGAATGAACTGAAGTGCTTAGAAGAGGAAGAAAAACAATCCTATGAAAGTGTAAAAGTACGTGGGAAAAGAAAATATCACAATGACAAAGTGAGTGACGATAGTTCTGCTGATGAAGTCTCTACTCAAAAGTCTTCCAAACGGTCAAGAGACCAAAGGTCACGAGACCACAAAGAGTCATCGAAACATTCTAAGAAGGTTAAACACAAAAAAGGTAAGAAATTGGAAATTGGTTTATCAAAATCTATTTTTGTTGTATGAGATGGGGTGGAGGCTGAAAAGTTCTCAGCTAGTCAAGGAGGGAATAAACTAGAGGTATGAAACTTACCTTAACATGCTATTCCACAGTCCCCTCCCAATTTAACACACCACTTGGCACATCATTTCTCATGCATTTTTTATCCCTTTATCTAAAAAATTACTGATGGAAGTGGGTTAGGGTGAGAATTTTTCAGCATCCAGTCATAGAACTGGTGTACTTATACATATTTGTAACAGTGATTTTTAAATCTTTTCACTTTAAGAGATTTGGCAATTTTAAAGGTGCCTTAGCAAAGTTAAGAGAAAAAGATCCAATTCTTTATCCAATCGTTTGAGATCAGAACTTCTTGTTACTGATTAACTTAGTAAAAAGAATTTTTTGAAATTTTCTTAACTCCATTCTGAAAAAAATAATTTACATGTTTTATACAATAGCTGACTAAAACCTTTATTAAAAAGAAATATGGACAACCTAATTGTTAAAAAAATGAAAAACTCAAAATAATTCATAGTTATCAGGGTCGAATTTTTTTTTAACTGATTTTCCACATGAAATAGAGAAATTATATAGAATTTTTTCCCCTCTGCTTTCCAGATGAAACAAATGGTATCTCTTCAGATGACTCTAGTCCTTTAGGTACATCATCTAAAAAGTCTAGAAGTAGTGACCAGAAGAAATCTCACAGAAGTCATCAATCAAAGAAAGAGTCTCGTCCTAAAAAAGTTAAAGGTTTGTGTAGATTTTTGTTTTAATATTAAATTTTCAAAATTTGCTTTTTTTTTTTTTTCTTTTCTTTTCATGTTTCTATATTATTTCTAAAGTTTAAGACAGAATTTGTTTTTGTTTTAAGAACATGGTGATAGCAAATCAAGGTCCTGTGATGATGCAGAAGAAAACAAGATGAGAGTAAGTAAATGTATTTTGTTTGCCTCAGTTTTATCCCTGATTTTGTGTGTGTGTGTTTATGGATAGAAATTGTAAATACTCATTTTGATTTAATTACCATATTTTCTGGCATTGTATACACAGCCTTTTGTGGGGAGAAGAATGAACAAACAAAATTAGGTAAAATAAAGATGTAACCTTTTGCTTTATAGAATGCAAGTTGATTAAAGGTGGAAGGGAATAGTGCATTCACTGTCAGAAAATACAGTAATTTCCTTACTTCAGAATGGTATTGGAGGTAACACAAGAGTATAAGATTTATTGAATGAATTGCAGTTTCATGATACTTAAGCAAATGTTGTCATTATCCTGTATCATTTATATTAATATTAGGTATAATAGTGTTGTCAGTCTTTTATTGTAAGCCTTTTCCAATTTATGTGTTTGTATTTCAGGAATCTGCACTTGATTTGAGTCAGGTGGTGATGGATAAAATGGATTTCCTTGAGATTGATGTCAGTAAGCAATCCAAGCTCGAAGTTTTATATGTTCAACTTAAGGTAAAGATGATTAACTCTTATAAACTATTCTGAAGTGAAATTATTATGAGGGAAGGCAAAAAGTTTCTTGGCCTGACCAAGCCGGGATTGATTCCAAAATAAATTCTATTTGATTAGATTTTGGGTGCTGAGAACTTTCTGCACCTCCTTATATAAATTGCTTCTTTGTTCAATCTCAAATATGTATGTTTCAATATATTTAAATATATTTCTGCAGTAAGTTCTCTCAGGCATATGTACCACAAATTCAAAAGCATTATCAAGTTGCTGTCTTTGAAAAGTAATTTGAATTAATAGTAAAACATTACTACTAATTAGTCATTGTCATTTAATGAAACATATACAGGTTTCCTAATTTTCCTTTTATTAAAATAGTTTGATATTCTTGGTTAACCTCTATATCCCAAATAACTTCTGTTCCTTTTGATTTAAATCACTGAGTCCTGTTGATCCATTATATTAAAAGAGAATATAAGAACTAAATTTTTATAAGCCTTTTTCTTTATCCATCTATTATGGTATCTACTTCAGTTGAATCTTTAATTGTTTAGGAGATTGTTCACATATGTAAATCTGACATGGTTAAAATAAAATGTAACATTAATATTATCTTAAGAAATTAAATGAGTATTACACACAGAGCATCTAATTTGTATCATGAATCATGTGCTATATGTCTGCACAAATATTTTTATGGTTTCAGTTCATATTCCTTCTGCATTCTACATGACTTCTGGTGTAAAAGTTCTCTTGACCTGACATGGAATTAGTTCATCTGACTCTGAGAATAAAACATGCAAACTTTCAGTTATTGTTATTAATGAACATTGTGTGAAAGAAAGTTTAATTATATACTTAAATAAAGTATAAAGTAAGCAACTCCTGGATGAGTATGCTACAAAGGCACACTGGAGGTAAAGAGCTCAATGACATATAAATTTCTAAATAACTTCTCGGTGAACAGTGACCAAATACAACCAAGAGTTTCATGTGTTTTCAAACAATCATCAGCTAGTCTGCAACCATTTTTTTGTGAAAATGGGCATTTTATATGCCTTTGGCTGAATACCTAATGATTGCATGAAAATGTATGAAACTTTTTGTTGTGGCCAGTCACTGTTCACTTGGAAGCTATCTAGAAAATTATATATTCCTTAAAGAGATCCTGGATTGACCTAATGAAAACCAGTCAAAACGTGATAACAACAAAAATGAGGACAATAGTAAGTGTAAGTAATAACTCTAGCCCAGAAAGTCAGACACACACACACACACAATTTTTTTTTCAAATAAATTCTTTTTGTGAAGTTTCCATCATTTGTCCTCTTTACTTAATTATTTATACCTGTTTATTGCTACAGACACGCATTTCAGATTGGCATGCAGGAGGTCTGTCCACGAAATATTTTTATGCCAAACTACAAGAAGCTAACCAACAACTTGGGCAATACGAAAAAAGTGGAGCTCCCGCAGGCTGGTCGGTCAACTGGGACAGGTACGTCCACCTCTTGTTCTTATTGGATATAACAATTAGAGTTGGCTCATATGTTGCACAAGTATCTGGCATAGGCTGAAATCATCTTTCTAACCGACAATTCACTGAGACAGGTGACTGCTCTACATAGACTGAGGAAGGCAGTGATTGCTTTTTGACAAAGCTGTGACCAGGGACTTTTTCTTTTCTTTTAAATCCTTTCATTATTTGATGGTGATATTGTTACTTTTCCACTGAAAAGCCTGGACTTTTTTCTTTTTTTCTTTCTTTTTTTTTTTTTCTTTTTTTTAAAACAAAGTTGCTCAACATAAATATGTCTTGGTAAAGTAAAGTAGATAAAAAAGCAAATCTGTAATAAAAACTGTTAAAATAAATTAAAGGACATGAATAATAACTAATGTTTTGGAATGGACTTAAAGCAAAACAAAGTTAAACGTGAGAACATGTAAAACTTTGACTGGTATTGACTGCATGACAAGAAATGACGAAATGGTGATTACTAGCAACAATATAGAAAAGTGTTCAAGTCCTTGCCATTTTGCAAATGGCAGTAAAAATGGCTAGCTCACTTTTTTGTTTGGGATCCCAATTTAGGATTGAGACTGAGCTTCTGTTTCTGTGGCCAATTCCTGGCTTTGTTTCTGTCGGTTATTGTCTCTATTGGATCGGTGAATGGTTGTGTTGCAATCACCGAGAAAGAGAAAGGCAAAAATTCAAACAATAAAGCGAAAAAACAAAGAGGGAGGAATAAATGTATTCCCAAGCAAGCTGACTGCAGATGGCATTGGTGTTGAAATGGTGTTTGCTGCGTAACAAGACAAGTTGAACCGGGTTTATTCTGGTGAGTTCAATATTTTCTGTTCTGTTTGATTAATTTGTTTTTCCTTTCTCTTTCAGTCCTCAATCTTTTCTGTATCTTTCATTGTCAATGCTGGCACTGTTATATATATATATATATATATATATATATATATATATATATATATATATATATATATATATAATGTTCATTTACTTAATGTTTTTATTTTCAGTTTTTTTTTTTTTTTTTTTTTTTTTTCAAACGTTTGTTGACTTGAGACAACACATTAGATTATATGAAAAGATATATATTGTAAGAGAGCTGTTTGTATGTGGATTTTTTTTTTTTTTTTTATCCTGTGACCCATAGTGGGCACCATGTGTACTGCAGCTAGAGTAGGAGTAGTGTTTCTTGGGAAAGATAGCCTGATGGAGCCCAACCCTCTCCAGGCTGGTTTTTGATTCAGTTTTTCCTTCTGCTAGACCGGATGCTACCCAAGGTTATAGAACCTAGTCTGTCCTGCTATTTGCCTGTAGCTGGGGGGTGGGGAGAGACGAGGGGGAGTCATACCCTTTCTCAAGGGTATTAGCATGTAAATGAATGTAATGGATCTGACTGGAATTTGAACTCTGCTCTCTGATTCATCAATCTGAGCTGCTATCCATTACTCCACCATGCCTCCTTGTTGTATGTGAATAGGTTTGAGTAAACTAGAATATTTCATTCATTCTGTATTATCCAATATCAATATTCCCTAATTGAAATAAGTTGACCTTTTATATTTACACTGTAATTATATTATTCACTAACTGTAATATAGACAGTTTTTTAACTTTTAACTACAGAAAAAAAAACATGATGTAAAGTCAAGGGATTGTTTTTTTCTGTTTAGTCTATGGCTTTTTAATAAGCACAGTTTTTATTGACTTTATTTTTGTTAACTTTACAAAAAGAACTATGATACCAAATTATGGTGCTTTATGCTGTGTCTGTTTATGTGTTAATATACTAAATCTTTTCTTCAACATTGTGGATTATCAGTTGTTCTTTTTGAAGGGATAAAGTTAATGTAAGCTTGAAGTTCTTTAATGAAGCTCAAGGTGATCATAAAATGATACCTTATGATCATTTAATTTATTTATAATTTTGGATTTGTTTTTTTAAATATATCTGCATTACTATTTAATCATTGTTGTTAAGTTAATTTGGAGATTGGACAACCAAAAATTTGGAATTTGACTAATTTGTGGAGTTGTTTAATAATTTTTTCTTTTCTTTTTTTTTTTTTTTTTTTTTTTTTTAATCAATGAAAAATGAATGCATAAAGGTGAATTACTAAGAGTAAAATGATTTTAACTAAAGTTCTATTTTAGTTCTTTATTCCAATTTAGAAGAGCCTTTCATTAAACTTCTCTCTTCCCACTGATTGTGACTTATTTTTTACCCATATTCTTTCCTAAATCACACACGCACACAAATTTAGATTAGGCATAAAAAAAAATCAGTTTTAACTTTTGGAATTTAAAGAACTTCTTTTTGACTCACTTTTGCAATAGTGAAAAATTTCATGTATAATTGAAAAAAAATAAACCTCTATGAAAGAATATAATATGCAAATACCTACACTGTATTAGGATTTGTATAAACTTTATATGATTTTAAGACAAGCTTTGGTTATTTCACAAAATTGACTTCATATTTAACATCAAATATGCCTATTTTTGTCTTGAAAAGATTGTAATTACTGAGATTAGATTACATTTTTAATTGCTTATTAAGTCATATACAAAATAAATAAAAATGATAAATTTTATTCTATTTAAGAATATTCTTTGATGGGTACTATTTTTTTTTTTTTTTTTTTTTTTTTTTTGCCCACTATAAAAGTTGGATTATAGTAAACAAAATAAATAATATGAATATGTCTGCTTTAAGATTTTATTTATTTTTTAATTTTATGTGATTAATTTATAAAAGAAAGTATGTAGAGAAATTGCCTCTCCACTTTTATAAAAACAAGAATATCTTTTTCTTTCAAAGTTTCTTTTTATTAAGTAAATTATAAATTATAAATCAAATTTTCTCATTATGCTTTCTTCCCTTAGATATTTTGAACTTTAGTAAAATAAATTAATCAATTTTTTAGCATTCTTAAAATTTCAAGCAAGTTAATGACATCAAAACTTGTTTTAATTTTCAGTTGATTCTGAAAAGAATATTTAATAGATAAGTGATAAAGTTTCTTTTGCTCTTAAACAATTTTTAGCACCAGTGATCTATCCCTTCAAGTCCATATATTTATTTTAAATTAATGTAATGTAATTAATAATAAATTTCCATTCCACTGCAGGAGGTTCGACAGTTCACTATTAAATATTAATATTATTCATTGTAGTCATCTGCCAATATTTAATTGATAGTTTGTCTTTTAAGGGAAGGAAGCTTGTGCCAACTGTAGCCAACTGTAGACGAACTACAACATATGAGCAAATATACATACTTATCACAAGAATGCATTATGCTTTATTAGCTTGTTTAATATGGATGCAAACCTGGCATGATATTAGGATCTTGATTGGTAAATATGTTACTGTAATAGAAATAAAAACATTAAATTTGTTGCTAAATTACACTGACAGGAATTGAAACCTAAACTTTTGATAACTAACAAAACAAAACAGTAGTAACAGCATATGAATTCAAACCCAGTTATAGTTTTATGCATTTCTTACTGGCATCAGTGGTAGGTGTTCTAGCCCAGATAAAAGCCAAGATTTGGGTTTTTCAAGATACACATACCTTTCCCTACTTCACAATCTTCCTACTGTTATACCCCCACTTATATAGCCTTAGCCTAAGGTTAGTAAATATCTAAACTCAATGAGGCTTAAAAATGATTCTTAATACTGATCTATATCGACAAATATCTAGTCAATTGCTGAAACATTCTGACAAGTGGATCAAACGATTACAGAAAGGCTTGTCTACAAAACTCTGGAGTTGAGGTGCTGAATATGATGTCAATCAGCAAAGTGACAAATTTTATATTTGTATTTATCCTATACAACAATCAAGAAAAATAAACTAGTAGTTTTTCATATTTTATCCGTTGTACTGGAATAAGCATATGTAAAATCTGGTATTAATTACAGGTTTTTAAAAATTAAAAAAAAATCCCTTATATTGGTTTATATTTAAAAAAAAACAAAAAAAAAAAAAAACATAAGAATTCTGCCAAAAATGGAACAGTGGTCTTTAATAGGTTAATGAAAATAATTCATTTTTCTTTTCCTTTTTACTGTCAAGTTTAATCTATTGTAAAATATTCAAAGTTAAACAAAATTTTTTCAGATTTATTCATCTTTAGGTAAGGCATTTGATATAATGAAAGTCTCTTTGATCAGCATTAATTAATATGCAGCAATAATATTAAGTAAATATTAAAATGTATTTTATTAACAAGAGCTTTTTGAAATTGTATTTTCCTTTCTTAGTAATATGTAGACACTGTGCTGGTTTCTTACTCTTGTACACTACCAGGCATTGATGTTGAAGAGTCTATTACTTTTTCTGTAATGAAATATCTTAAAAATAGTTTTTATTTCAGGTTATGATAAATGATGTTGATGATTTTTTTTTTTAATTTTTTATTTATTTATTTTACTTTTTGAATACTGCGTTGGAACCTATAGATTTTGTTTGTCTGAAATAACCAGATTTTTTTTTTTTTTTTTTTTGGAATGAATGCTTGGTTTTAATTTGAGGAGAGGCATATTCTACTGAAAGTTAATATCAATGTTATATTTCATTGTATTTTTTTTTTCTTTTAAGATTTTTACCTTTTGATTTGTATTTTATTTGCACATGTTTTGTACCAGCTCTGTTTATTGATTGCACAAAAAGGACAACAAAACTACAATCAACCAATTTGTTATCAAAATATCAGGTTAGACCAAAGATTCTTTTGAATATGACTCCTCTATAAAATTATTTCACTCAAATCAAATAACTTTAAATGTGATGGCATTTGAAAGCAGAAATAAGAAATTAGGAAAAATTAGAATTTATTTCAAAAATAGCTTAAGTAGAATAATTTACAGCAATTTTTAAGCTTTTACTAAAATATCACTCTGAAAGAAATATTTATAACATTAAAATCCAACATGTATTTTCATTGTTTTCTGTTTTGAAAAGAAAA